AAAGCAGTGTATCTCCCTTCACTAAATCCTCTTGCACAACAATAAGCTGTGTTAAACGAACACGCAGATCGTCCACAAGCGCTCTGCAGTTGTTTTTTTATGAACCCATTTTGGCGAGTCGCCAAGTTTACAGTACATAGAGATATGAAATGTGTTTTCTCCTGTGAACTTATCTTGTTTTCTCCAAAGTAATAACATTTGCTGATGATTTCATCCTTTGTTGAAAAAATTGTTTGTGACGTCACTTGAGACTTGTTTGGTTGGTTCGAGAGCAGACATAATACAGAAAAATTATGGGCATTGCTTTTATGACTGAAGTCTGCATCCGTTCCGTTCGATGGCAACTTCTACTACTTTTTGAGCAACGTTCGTATCGTTCAGAGGACCAGATCTCGGGGAGGCCAACACACTTTATTTTTTCCCGATTGATATCTATACCATAGCAAGCTAGGAGCTAAGCTACCCCAGTTGGTAATATGCTAGTCTACAGAGTGAATGGTCCTGGTTCGAATCCGAGATTGGGTGTTCTTGAACTCTGGTCATTTTATAGAGTGTTCAAGGTTTTCAACCCATTTGACCCAGGTCCTATTGGAGGCGGACGTTAAAGTCGGAGGTCCCACCACTTGAATAACCTAATTGTGTTGAGAGGCGTGTTAAATCCATACACTTACCTATACTTACTATGACCAGATACATTATCTATATGTCCCAATAACGCATTTTCTGTTGGTGGTTGGCGGGTGCTCTGATGTGGTTTGCTTCTTCTTTCCTGTCAAACATCTGTCGTACTTATCTCTCCTCCTCCTTTTTTATGTGTGTTACTCTCTTGTAACACCTCTAATCTTCTGGCGCTCATATGACCTTATGCAGTTGCGAGTGCCGTAAAACCGCTACTAAAACTAAAAACATCATATGACCTTACGGAGTTGCAAGCGCCGTTAAACCTCAACTAAAACTAAAATTAACGCTCTTTGGACGAGTTGAACAAGTGCAAATGCAATAATGGCGCCAACACTATTTTGTAAACTTCATCAAAATTCTTGGCCTGTGAGTCAAGGTGGCGATTCGTGAGGAAAACGACGTGTTTTTATTGGCATTACTGTTTGACGCAACCCACTCGACTTTTCTTTTTATCCTTTCTTCTTTCTACCTGCTTCTCTCTTTTCCTTTGTCTGTCTGTGTGTGTGTCTGTCTGTCTGTTTTTTTTTGGTCTATCTATGTATCTATCTATCTGTGTGTGTGTGTGTGTGTGTGTGTGTGTGTGTGTGTGTGTGTGTGTGCGTGCGCACGCGCCGCGTATGTCTCTGCCTCTATCTGAAATTGCGCTACAATTAGCTCGGCCTACTTTGGGAACTGCTGTGAACTACGAATAAACTTATATATTTACAACTTTAAGCTGAACAAAGCAGCATCTTGCCTTTTCTTTTAACTACAGCATTTCACAATTTTAGCATATTATGGCCACTTTAGTGTCTATTTTATGTACCGTTCTCACCTTACCAGCTGCTTAATTGTAAATAATCGATGTAAATCGTGCCATATTTCAGTCAGAGTAGGGTCAGGGCTTTGTGGAATGTTTCGAATCTCCATTTTGATGTCAGTCTGTTTTTATATAAACCAGACATTTAAATAAATCGTATCTGTCTGTTTCCATTAGAGATTACAGCAATAGGAGATTAACGCCGATGGTTAGGGGGATTTTAGCATGTTCTTATGCACAGTAGAATTGTAACTGGGCTGATTTATCAATGTCATACTCATACTGTGCCGGAACAACATAGCGGGAAACTTCTGCTTTTGCTTTCCGTACCCTTACTATCGTCATTTTTTCTCTACATCTTTTGTACGTTTGTCACTCTCTCGTGAACTGTTATTTCCGGGGTGCCTTGATATTCGAAGCAGACTTTATTGTGTTGAGGCTAGTGAGGTGAGCAGAGTAAGTCTGATTCCCCGTTTGGACCTCTCTGTTGACATCCACCCCTTGGAGCTCATATGACCTTATTAATATGCAGGTGCGAGCGCCGTAAAACCTTACTAAAACAAACAAAAACAGGTTGGTGGTATCTGTACTCTAGCCTCTCTCTCTC